TAGCACATGCAATAGAACTATTTGGGACTGTCTGGTAACCCCATGCCAGTTCAACGCCCTTGTGCCTGAGGGTCAGTCTGTAAGAGGCTGATGACAAGCCAGCTCTGAGATTTTCTTTTACCTCCTTTTGCTTCTTTTACCTCCAGCTGTAATCACAGTTATGATCCAGTTCTAGATAATTGTCCTCCCACTCAAGGTATATTTTGTGAAAACAGCCACAGTGACCAGGCTAGCTCTCCAGGGTTTCTTTTGCATCCTGGTCACGGTGTACCAAACCTCCACAGCAGGCTTGTTCTGTAGTTCTTATGCCCCCAGCTCTGCTGGGTCTTGTTGTCGGTAATGAGTGATACAGACTCAGCTTCTCTCAGTCATTCAAAACCATGGAAAAATACCAGGGACTGCATGAGAAAGTATTTATTGTGCAGCGCTGTCCTGGGAAGCCCCGGCTATGGGCAAGGGAAGAGGTAAGAAATGTGGTCATAACCAAGAAGCTTTAGTTTTGGACTAAGGGAGGTGGGAACATTCCACCACCCAAGAGAAAATAAATGGATCATGGGAGGGGTGCAGTGGGTCGGGGAGAGCTGAGAAAGTGGAGGTAAGGGCGGACTCCAAGGGTTTCTGTTTGTGTGTCTGCGCCTGCCTGGGTGTCCAGGTGGGGGACTGGGAGGGCGCCGTGTACAAGGGTGGGAGAGAAGTGGTAAGAGCCCTGTGTGAAAATCTGTGCTGTGAGGTTAGGACACCCTGGGGAGGCCTTAGCCTGCTTTCTGCTTTCTCTTCCCGTAATGCTAAGCTTGGCCGGCTTGGCTTTGCACCCATCAGCACCGATGTTGGAGCCCTGGTAAGGTAATTAACAGTCAGACGTCTGATGCTAAAATATGTAGAATCTTGCAGGCTGCTGGAGTGGACTGCTTTCGGGGGTTGCCGCTTCTCTTGGAAACAACCAGCTGTTCTCTCTGCTCACAGAAAACAGAACAAGATGAGGGCTTAGAGGAGAGAAAGAGGGATTTACTCGGATTTGAGGAAGGATTTCCTGGCTGTGAAAACACAAAAGGAAATATGATCTTTGGGATGAGATTGCCGGCAAGAGATCTGAAATCTCTTTCCTTCCGGTAATTTTAAATGAGGAGAGCAGCCTCAAGAGTGATTTGCCTTAAAGGGGCTGTTTTCCAGATAAAGGGACACAGTCTACTGATTCACCCCATGAATATGACCATTCCAACTCCCCCAGTAAAAAGAAGAGTGTCAGGAAAATCGGGTTTCATTTCCCACCTTGTTTGCATGTATTGTACATAAAACCAGCCATATCCAATGTTTTGCTTCAACATTGGAAATGATGAGTTAGCACTCGAGTGAGTATTGATAGACATCAGTCGTTGCTAGATGGGGGAAAATGTCGTGCTGACTTATACTATAGAGATTAAAAAAAAACAGTATTTGTTAACTTGGCCAAATTCTTGTGACTATATGACCCCCAAATGATCCAACTGATGGCATGTTTTGTAGAAGATTACAAGCCAGGAGAGCATTGTTCAAGTCCTGTCTTAACTTTTTGGAGTCTTGATTCTATCATCTGAATTACAGGAATAATTGTTTCCTTTTTTTTTTCCACTTCAAAGAGTTTTGTAAAGACCTAATATGATAATGTAAGTGGAGATTTCTGAAAACGAGAAAGGATGGGTGAAGTGGGTATTAAGATGAACACCTTTTTCATTCTTCCTTTTATTCAAACAGTGGAGCACACTCGTCGTCTTGAGTGGTATTTGTGGAATTACAGGTGAGGGGAACCTTCAAATGAGTTAGGGAGTGTATAAATGCCTGTTGAATCTGAACTCAATGCTGTTTCAACATGGAATTCAATAAAGTATTCCTTTATTTATGGTAAAATATTCTGTGAACTGTGAAGCACTCTTCAAATTTAAAACATTATTAGAATCCTAATAGTAGCAGGATTTATTGTATTGAAAGGCAGTCTAGTGTGGGGGTAAAAACGGAGAACTTGGATCCAGACTTGCTTGGTTCTATTCTGCTTTGATATGTCCTGGCTCTATGATTTGAGATATATAACCGCCTTATGTCATTTTTTCCTCATTTCCAAAATAAAGACAATCCTCATGCCAACCTGATAGGGTTGTCGTGAGAATTTAGTGTCTTTTAAACATTGTGAGAATTTAGCGTGTTTTACTATTTAAAAAGCAGTCCCAGTCTGTGCTCAGTACATAGTAATGATTGTGACAAGAAGTACTACAAAGAAATGATAATAAAATCTTTGGGTTCCTTGCCTCAGAACACCAAGTGACCATATAATGAGCTGCTAGGTTAACATCTATCCTTTTCTTTAATGGAGATCATGTACAATCATGTTATGAATTGTGGAAATTGGCTCAGTGCATTAATCCAAAGATATGCTATACATGTTGTTTATTTCTTAAAAGATTTTTAAATTGAAATAAAAATCACATACCATAAAATTCATCCCCACAAGCACAATTTACATTTGCATGCATGTGTCTTTGTGATAGAACAATTTCTATTCCTCTGGGTAGATACCCAGTAATAGGATTGCTGGCTCAAATGGTAGTTCCACTTTAAGTTCTTTGAGAAACTACCACACTGCTTTCCAGAGTGGATGAACTAAGTTACATTCCTTCCAGCAGTGTATAAGCATTCCCTTTTCTCTGCAACATCACGAGCATCTGTATTTTTTGACTTTTTACTAATAGTCATTCTGAGTGGTGTGAGACGGTTTCACTGTGGTTTTGATATACCATTTCCTAATGATCAGTGATATTGAGCATTTTGTCATATGCTTGTTGGCTGCATGTATATCTTCTTTTGATAAGTGTCTGTTCATGTCATTTGCACATTTTTTAATGTGGTTGTTTTTTACTTGTTGATTTGTCTAAATTTCTTATAGATTCTGGATATTAGACCTTTGTTGGGTGCATGCATAGTTTGCAAATACTTTCTCCCATTCTTTGCATATGGACACAAAGAAGGGAACAATAAACACTGGGGCCTATTTGAGGGTAGAGGTGGGTGGGAGGATGAAGATTGGAAAATTACCTATTAGGTAATATGTTGATTACCTGGTGATATGGTTTGGCTCTGTGTCCTCACCCAAATCTCATCTTGAATTATACTCCCGTAATTCCCACGTGTGACTGTTTGCTTTCAAGTTTACTCCCCACTCTTCTCCAGCTCTGCTCTGGGTAACAAGGGACTGACCCTTGAAAACTACATTTCCCAGGCTCCCTTGCAAGCTAGCTTCCTGCTAGATTTGGCGAATGGGAGGCAGTGAGCAGTGCACTATTGGAAGTTGTTTCCTATCAGTGGGCTTGCCTGGTTCCTTTGTCTCTTGTTTTCTGCTTGGGTTGGCCAATGGGAAGAGCAGGTGGGAGATGGGAGGGCAGGAGGAGAGGTCCAGCCATTTCTTCCCTGTTCTTCTTGCCAGTGCTCCGAGCTCTTACCAGGCTACCTCTCTTCCATAGCTCTCTGGTCACACCATTTCCTGCTCTTGCCCCTTCAGCCTTAGGGGTAGTAACAGTTCTCTCCTCTAGCTAGTCTCTGGGAGCTGCACTATCTTGTTTGTTTTTTTTAATCCCACCCAAAAGTCCCTAAATATTGCCTTCATTGAAGTCTCTTCATTTGAACCACTGGAAGTGGGCAGAGGGAGTGAATTGTCTTTCCTACCAGGACCCTGGTAGGAGTGATAGCTAATAGCCAACCTTCATGTATCGCTTTCATGATTTTTGTCATATCTGCATGATACTTGGGGTATTGCTTATTTACTTTTTCTAAAGTCACTTCACTTTTGTTTTTTACAAATGACTATAGCATTACCCTAAACTGTAATATACAAGAAATCCTGGGTTTGGCATGAAAGTAATACTTTATCGTAATACTCATTCAAACACATACAGGCCAGGCATGGTGGTTCACACCTGTAATCCCAGAACTTTAGGAGGCCAAGGTGGGCAGATCACCTGAGGTTAGGAGTTCGAGACTAGCCTGGTCAACTTGGTGAGACACTGTCTCTACTAAAAAATACAAAAATTTGCTCAGTGTGGTGGTGTGTGCCTGTAATCCCAGCTAATCGGGAGACTGAGGCAGGAGAATTGTTTGAATCTGGGAAGCAGAGGTGGCAGTGAGCTAAAATGGTGCCACTGCACTCCAGCCTGGGCAATAGAGTGAGACCCTGTCTCAAAAACAAAACAAAACAAAACAAAAAAACACATACGGGCTGGGCACAGTGGCTCACACCTATAATCCCAGTACTTTGGGAGGTCAAGGCAGGTGAATCACCTTAGATTGGAAGTTCGAGACCAGTTTGGCCAACATGGTGAAACCTGGTATCTACTAAAAATACAAAAAAATTAGCCAGATGTGGTGTTGGTACACACCTGTAAGTCCAGCTACTTGGCAGGCTTAGGCAGTAACGGCTTGAACCCGGGAGGCAGAGGTTGCAGTAAGCCGTGATTGTGCCACTGTACTTCAGCCTGATTGAGAGAATGAGACTGTCTCAAAAACAAAATGAAACAAACAAACAAACAAACAAACCCATATACATAACTCTAAAAAGAAGCAATACCTGGTTCCCTTATCAATCATGTTTCATTGACTTGATGATCTCTTAGATCCCTTTCATCTCAGACAAGCTGTGATTCTGGATAAACTTTACCCAGACTGAGACTTTGCTGCTTGTTTTAAGTCAAAAGCATCTCGGTGGTTTATAGATTCAAATTGTTTTCTTTCAGCTGTATCACTGCAGTAAACAGAAATGAGGAAAATAGTTCTCCTCTTTATTCTTGCACTGATGAAAAGCTTCTAAGTGCTACCAAATGTGGAAAAATCATTTGGGCTTTCATGGTATTGTTGGACAAAGAATGAAGATAAATCTGTTTTTTTGTAAGATGAAATTTTCTTTCCTCAAGTGGCCCTGGCATGAGGGGTTTCTGAGGGAGGAAGCAGCATAGAAACTTAACTAATTGTATTCACTGCAGCAGAGGGACCCAGATTCCATAAACACTGCTGGCAGAGAGGTGTAGTGTGGCACTCAGAGGTGTACAGATCCTGGCAGACGATGTCTTGAGGACAAAGAGCTTTTTAAAGAACTGGGCCATGAGGAGACGCCATTAAAGGTCAGTCCATAGCTGGGATGTTACTTTCCTAGATCTTCCTTTTGACTTTGGCTTCTGAGCTCCAAGAATCCTGAATCTACCTCTTCCTACTTTCATGATCTCCCTTCAGCACTCATTTAACACACGGGTTCCTGCATACTTTGGTGTATACCATTAAATCTAGGGTGTATTACTAAGACTACATTTTGCATGCATCAGTCTCCTGGGGGGCTCGTTAAGACATACCTTGCTGACTGGGTGAGATGTTTCACACCTGCAATCCCAGAGCTTTGAGAGGCTGAGATGGGAGGATCATTTGAGGCCATGAATTAGAGACCCATCTGGGCAACATAATGAGACTCCTGTTTCTACAAAAAAACTAAAAAGAACAAAAAATTAGGCAGTCACGATAGCATGAATTTGTAGTCTTGGCTACTTGGGAGGCCAAGAAGGGAGGATTGTTTGAGGCCAGGAGTTTGAAACCAGCCCGGGCAATCTAGTGAGACCCCAGTTCTACAAAAAATAAGATAAAATACCTAGATGTGGTGGTACAAACCTGTGGAAAGTATCACTTGAGCCTGGGAGTTTGAGGTTGCAGTGAGGTAATGATTGCACCACTGCACTTCAGCCTCTGCAACAGAGCAAGACCCTGTTTCTAGAAAAACAAAACAAAACAAAACACAAGGTCAAGTGTGGTGGCTCACTCCCGTAACCCCAGCACTTTGGAAGGCCAAGGCAGGTGGATCACCTGAGGTCAGGAGTTCGAGACCAGCCTGGCCAACATGGTGAAACCCTGTCTGTATTAAAAATACAAAAATTAGCCAGGTGTGGTGGTGGACGCCTATAATCCCAGCACTTCGGGAGGCCAAGGCAGCTGAATCAGTTGAGGTCAGGAGTTCGAGACCAACATAGCAAAACCCCATTTATACTAAAAATACAAAAATCAGCTGGGTGTAGTGGTGTGCACCTGTAATCCCAGCTGCTCGGGAGGCTGAGGCAGGAGAATCACTTGAACGTGGGAGGTAAAGGTTGCAGTGAGCAGAGATTGTGCCACTGCACTCCAACCTGGGCAACAAAGCGAGGACTCCATCTCCAATAAATAAATAAATAAAAATCCAAGTATGTCTTCTTGTACCCAGAATGTTTGAGTCAGAAGGTCTGGAGTGAACCTGAGAATTTGCATTTCTAATTAATCCCCAGGTGATAGTGATGCTTCTGGTTGGGGGACAACAGTTAAAAATAAATTTTTTTTTTTTTTAGAGATAAGGTCTGGCTGCGTTGTCCAGGCTGGTCTCGAACTCCTGCCTCAGCCTCCCAAAGGCCTGAAATTATAGGCTTGAACCACAATGCCTAGCCAGACTTTGAGAACCCCTGAAGTAACATGTTGAATGTCTGTTCTCTGCCCGGGAATAGAAAGATGAATAAGGCAGGATATTTCCTTTAAATTGCTTACTTGGCAAGCGATTCAAACTCTTTGAGGGTCAGCTGTCTCATCCCTAATATGAGAATAATCACACTTCCTTCACGGGGCTATTGTGAAAATTAAGTGATATTGAGTCACAGACCTTTGCTATTTTAGAAGGACACGTCTTGAAACCTTTGCAAGTTCACAATTCTGTGAATACTATTAAAACATGTAATTTTCTCCATAAAATTTAGTTAAGCATAAGTGAAAATTTTAAGTGACCCTTTCGGGCCCCTAATGATTCCCTAAATATAGGATTAAAGCAATTTATAAAGCAATTAAAATACATTCTTGCTGAAACACTCATTGAACAGTTTCAGAAATTACTTTCCCTTGATTCCTTATAGAGTATTTGGTGGCTTCAAGCAATTATCAAATTTGATATTTTACCCTTGGATTTATCTAATACTTCACTTTCTTTTTATTCCTATTATTCGTATTTGCAATTAAAAATGGGGTCTTTTTTCCCTGAAAAGATATGAGGGTCTGACGTGGTGGCTCATGCCTGTAATCTCAGCACTTTTGGAGGATGAAGTGGGAGAATTGCTTGAGCTCAGTAGTTTGAGACCAGCCTGGGCAACATAGGGAAACCTCATCTCTACAAAAATGTACAAAACTAACTGGGCATGGTGGTGTGTTCCTGTAGTCCCAGCTACTACCTGGGAGGCTGAGGTGGCAGGATCGCTTGAGCCCGGAAGGTCAAGGGTACAGGGAGCCATGGTCGCAGTCCTGCACTTCTGCCTGGGCAGTGGAGTGAGATCCAATCTCAAAAGAAAAAAAAAAAGACGTGAAATATCTTACACATTGCAAGCGCCATGACCTATTTGGCTTGATCAGAGAAAGCAACAAGTTCACATCAACTTACAGATGCTAGTGAGCCAGACCTGTTCACCAGCTATGGCATCTGTTGATGTGCCAGCCACCCTACAAGGCTACTACACCATATGACTCTCGAGGGTACTAAGCATTCTGCAGTCTTTGTCAGTCATGTGCCTTGGAGTTGCGCAAACCGGCAGGGCTACCCCTCTGTGTGGGGGTCTAATGGGGGACCTTGCTGTGTGCCTTCCGGATTATGCACGAGATTCAGAAACCAAGGTTAACTCTGCAAATGCCAAGGTGAATGTTCTGATTAGTACCTGGAGCATCCCTGACTCTCCAAACAGCCTTTATCACAGCTTCCACTTTAATGTTGGTATTTTCAGTACTAGGTCTATCCCATCTAGTCTTGGCTCTTTTTCTCTTTTTTATAGAGACAAGGTCTTGCTCTGTTGCCCAGGCTGAAGTGCAGTGGCGCGATCATAGCTCACTGCAGCCTCCCACTGCTGGTCTCAAGGGATCCTCCCACCTCAGTTTCCCAAGCAGCTGGGATTACAGGTGAGTGAGATGATGCCTGGCTAATGTTTTTTTATTTTTTTTTGTAAAGACCAGGTCTCGTTATGTTGCCCAGCCTGGTCTCAAACTCCTGGCCTTAAGTGAACCTCCAGCCTTAGCCTCTCAAAGCATCGAGATTGCAGGTGTAAGCCACTATGTCCAGCCTGGTTTTTTTTTTTTTTTGAGATGGAGTCTTGCTCTGTTGCCCAGGCTGGAGTGCAGTGATGTGATGTCTGCTCACTGCAGCCTCTGCCTCCCAGGTTCAAGCAATTCTCCTGAGCCTCTTGAGTAGCTGGGGCTACAGGTGAGCACCACTACACTTGGCTAATTTTTGTATTTTTAGTAGAGACGGGGTTTCACCATGTTGGTCAGGCTGGTCTTGATCTCTTGACCTCATGATCCGCCTACTTTGGCCTCTCAAAGTGCCGGGATTACAGGCATGAGCCACTGTGCCTGGCCCAGCCTGGTTCTTAACATGCTACCCTCCTCGAGTTTCTTCTGTTGCCTTGGGTTAGCCCAGGTTTGATTGGCATTTTGGCCACCACTGCCTAATAGCACTACTTTAGACATTTGGCTGCCACAGGAAGAGGAGAAGCAGGTTGGAGTTTCAGTGCCACCTCTGCCACTTTTATTGCATGATCCAGACAAGGAGTGTAACCCCCCTGCACCCCACGATTTTCCTCCAAAAAATGGCACTCCTATGAATGGTTTGCCATTAGAAAATAAATGAAATGAGGCTGGATGTGGTGGTTTATGCCTGTGATCCCGGCACTTTGGGAGGCCAAGGCGGGCAGGATCATTGCAGGTCAGGAGTTCCAGACCAGCCTGGCCAACATAGCAAAAGCCCATCTCTACTAAAAACACAAAAATTAGTCGGGCATGGTGGCATGCACCTGTAATCCTAGCTACTCAGGAGGTTTAGGCAGGAGAACTGCTTGAACCTGGGAGGTGGAGGTTGCGGTGAGCGGAGATCACGCCACTGCACTCCGGCCTGGGTGACAGAGTGAGTGAGACTTCATCTCACACACACAAAAAAAGAAGTAGTTGTCATAGAGTCATAAGTTTATTTGTAAATTTGTTTACATTCCCTGTAAATAGATGAGCCCACTAGTTTATTTTTAGAGTATGGGATTAAAAAATGCTTTGTTAGACTTTGCTTTTCTCAGCAAAGCTGTGTTTTAATGCAGTGGCATTAGTACCAAGCAAAACACAAGTTGTTTTGTGTCTATGGAATACACTAAGAGATTTCAAGGTTCTCTATCTACTGCATCAAGCATCATGAAAACCAAGTTTAATAAAAAGTTGATTTGCTGTTTGTTAAACAATTGTCTGCTTTTTGTATTTTTTTTTCTTTTTTAGAGATGGTGTCTCACTATGTTGCCCAGGCTGGCCTGCCTCCTGAGGCAGCCAAAAGTCTAAAGGAGTGCTATTAGGCAGTGGTGGCCAAAATGCCAGTCAAACCTGGGCTCCTGGCTGGGTCTTGAACTCCTGGCCTCCAGGGATCCTCCTGCCTCAGCCTCCCATCTTGCTGGGATTACAGCATGAGCCACTGCACCCAGCTTGTCTGCTTTTTGGATGAAGGAAAATCTCTGCTCTGCTCTGGACTGAATTTCGGTTTGTGAAGCGGGCTTTGATGAGCAGCCAGGGCCCTTTGTGTCTGGGTCTCCCCCGCATCTTACTGATAATCATGTAAAAGCTCTAAACAGACTGTGCAGAGCCTGATGCCTGGAAATGGTGCTTTTTAGACCCCTTTAAGTAATTGACTGAGACAGCCAGCAGTCGCTGCTCTTATGTCTATGTCTTTGGGGTTGTTTTCCTCATGTGAATCACAGCGGTTCATTTCTAATTTGCAGGCTACCCATTTCCAGCAAGAGTCCCAGCCACATTTGAATATTCAGAAAGAACAGTGCTGTAATACAACTGTTTAAAAATTAACACACCTTTCTTGACAGTCTGAGTAGAAGCAGAGTGCTCAGTTCAAGGAAACTCCTGGACTCAGTCACCTTAGATGGTTAGTGCTAGGAGGCCTTGTAGTTCATCTCGATGCCCTCGTTCCAATTCTGTTACTTGGGGCCACCTCTGTAAGTCACATTCTACATCTCTGCAACAACTGTTCAGATATTTGAAGCCCACCATCTTACCTTCCCCATGACTTCTTAACTGAGAACACCAGTTTCTTTCTTTT